TGTTTGCAATTCAAGAAGGATGTTGGTGAATTGGAGAATATTCAGAGAAGAAACATGAGAATGATTAAAAGATGGGAAAACGTGCCTTAAAATGATAGACTCAACTAAAAGGAGGTGAAGAGATGACTTGATTACAGTCTATAAGCACCTACGTAGGGAACAAATACTTAATAGGCTCTTCAACCTAGCAGAGAAAGGTCTAACATGATCCAATGGCTGGAAGTTGGAGCTAGACAAATTCAGACTGGAAATAAAGCACACATTTTTAATTATAAAAGTAATTAATCATTGGAATAATTTACCAAGCGCTATGATGGATTCTCCATCACTGGCAATTTTAAAATCAAGATTGGATGTTTTTCTAAAAGATCTGTTCTAGGAATTTTTTGGGGCGGGGGAATTCTGTGGCCTGTACTATATAGGAGGCCAGACTAGATGACTGCAACGGTCCCTTCTGGGGATGATTATTATTATCGATGAGACTATACGTGTAATGTGTGTGTAGGCTCTTTGTTGTTTTAAAATCCCTTTTTCTCTAATACAGTAGATGCTGCTTATTAACAATCCTGATACTGACAATTTTCAGTTATTAGCAACATTTTGCTGGAAGCTGATCCTATCCCATTAATTATATAGTTAACTGGACTCAGATATTTGCAACTGTCATGCTGCTTCTTTGGCAAGTTTTCTTCTTTGACATGGAGCCTCCCCCATGGGTGCGGACCCACCAGCCACACAGGAGATAACGCAGGAGTCCCGGCGCTGCAAAGTGGGAGGAGAGGCTGAGAGGGTAGGCTGCAGACAGGGCAGCGGCATGGAGATGGGCTGTAGCCCGAATGCCAGGGCTTTCCACAGGGGGCAGGGATGTTGGGGGCCCATGGGGCTGCACAGTACTTCTTCCTGTGCTGTCTGGGCTGTGCCCTGTCCTGGCATTGGGGGCCTGGGCTCAGCACACCCCAGTGCCCCCATGGAAAGACCCAGTAGTAGGCAGGTTTCTGGGGCTGCAGCCAGGTATGGAAGCACTGGGATATGACAAGCCCAGGGAGAGGGAGAATGCAGGAAGAGGTACAGTGCAGCCCCACGAGCCCCCAGCATCCCTGCTCCCCGTGGAAAGCCCCAGCATCTGGGCTGGTGCCCGCCTCTCCCCAATGCTGGCCTGTCCACAGACTACCCCCACAGCCTCATCTCCAATGGTGCTGCAGGCTGGGAGAGGGAGCAACAGGCAGGGCAGCAGCTGGGATGCGGGTTGTGGTCCAGATGCTTTCCAGGGGGAGCAGGAGTGCTAAGGGTGCCTTTCCTGGTGGTCTCAGGGCTGCATCTTGGCCTGGTGCTGGGGGCCCAGGCTCAGCATGTCCCAGCACTTCATTCCTGGCTGCAGCCCCAAAAACCTGCCTTTCGGTTATTGGCAACTTCTGGATAATAGCAACTTCTTGCTGGGAAATGAGAGGCTGCTGCTAAGTGGTATATGCTGTACTTCATTCCAGCTGCTAAATCAAAACAATTGGTTTTAAGAAAGCTGTTGGTCAGTATTGCTTTTCACAGGCTCCTGAAGATAGGAAGCACACAGGTTCCTGAAACGGAGTCTGGCCAGCAAGATGATAAGCTTTTGGTATTCATGGGTCAGGGTACCAGGATACCAGCTAAAACCAGAAGAATCATGAGATTCCACCCCATGACAGGTAAAGGCAAGAAACCAAACACTTTGGAGTCAGAGAGATCAGATAGAGGACTGAAGTGCCGCTAGCCTCATTGCCATGACACGGACCAAAATAGGAGAGAACACTGAGTCGTTTGTAACCTTATTCTCAGGTTCTCACACACTTCCTGCCCCACTGGAGAAGCACATTAGTAACGTTTCCCATTTCTGATGGCAACACCACCATCCTGTGGCCCAGCCTTACTGACCTCTCCCTCTCCTCCTCCTCCTCTCATCCAAATCTCACTGCTTTTTCATGCACACTATATTAAAAATCCAGCCCTTCTTTTTGGTCCCAAAAGCTAGAACACCTGTCTAGGCTTCAATCACCTCCCATCCTGATTACAGCAGCCTTATCCTCGGAGGCTTCCATGATTCTTTCATCATGTCCCTCCAGTCCATCCAAAATACAGCCCATAACATTAACTTCCTTGCCTGTCAAGCTGACCTCATCACCTTTTTTGGTCCCGCTACTGGCTCCCTTTTTGCAACTGCATTAAATTTAAATTCCTTGGTCTTGCCTCCAATGTCCTGCATCACTGCACACCTGCCTACATCACAGTACTTTTCCGTTAACATGCCTCCCATCCCCCTTCCACTCCACCAATGGTACCAGCCTCAATGATCTTTTCATTCCTTCTCCCACTTCTGTCTCTGGGCCTTCTTCATGCTGCCTCAGGTGCAAAATGATCTCCCAATCTGTGTTCACCAAGTTCTCATTCAAATCCCTCTTAGACTCATTTCTTCTGCAGTACCCCAAAACTGGGAGTTCATAGCAATAACAAAGGTCACTCCCTCATCTCAATTTCCCAGTGTGATCTGTCTTCCTAATGCTGCCTTTGAGATTGTAAGCTCCTCAAGCAGGCACTGTCTTTGTGTCCTATATAGCCCCACGCACAGTCGGCATGAAAACTACAACTAAAAACAGCACAAGTGTTTCTACAAAAATGGTCAACAGTGACACTGATACTCTGGACACTGCCATTGCAGTTTGCACCCGACTGAGATGCACAGGAATTCGTGGAATCAACAGAGATCCTTTAGTGATGCCATAGCAGGGATTTCCTGTAGCTGTATCCAACACTCACAAGGAGGACATATGCTCATCTCCTAGGAGGTGCTTACCCACAAGGATATTCTTCCCATCCACGTTGGTTGTGTATTTGTAGAGTGTCAAGGCAAACGTAGAGAGCTGCTGGGGTCGGCTGTGCATAGGTTAAGGAGCTGAAATCCAGACAGCAATCTCATGTTCAGTAGAGCACCTGTGAGGGGAACTTGCTTGAGGGCGGCTAGGGCAAGCAGTCAGCAGCTGGGTCACCAAGCTGCTCCTCTGCAGGGTGTAGCATAGCCAAGCCATTCACTCAAATTTGCCTCAGAGTTTCAACCCCAAGCTAAGGGCTAGTCTACACTAGAATCAATACAGCGGCACAGCTGTACCGAGGTAGCTGCGCCACTGTAGTGCTGCTAGTGCTGCTAGTGCAGACGCTCTATGCTGATGGGACAGAGCGCTCCCATCAGCATAATTACTACACCATAGTGGCAGTAGCTATGTTGGCGAGAGAGCGTCTCCCACCAACATAGCGCTGTCCACACTGGCGCTTAGGTCAGTGTAACCTACATCGCTCGGGGAGGGGGAGGCTTTTCCACACCCCTGAGCGACGTAAGTTATATTGAAGTAAGTGCTAGTGTGTACAAGTCCTAAGGGAGGGAGTAGGAGCTTTATAGTTGAAGTGCCCATGACAGTCCTATATGCCTCATAGGACCAGCTGCTAGCATTGCAGTGCTCAGGAAATGAATTCTAAAGAAGATACTATAGTTGATGGGGCGAGAAAGGAGACCTTCTTAGGAGGAACAGAAGTTATAAGTTCCCAAGTGCTGTGTGGATTTAGCTAGCTCATCAATGTAGTACAAAGAGAGTCTAGGTCAGGCAGGGAAAGCCAGGAAACAGAACTCTTGTGAAGATGGGATGAGAGCCCCTGATTGGAAGAACATGGTTAAACAAAAAGGCCTCAAACAGACCATTTCCCCTCATGTACCCTCCTGGGCCCAAGAACAAAACTAAACAGTGGTGAGGTCTGAAAGAACCCAAAGGATACAATCCATCCAGAAGGAACCTTTCCATTAACCTGCAAGTAGAGAAATGACACAGGCCCATTAGTCCTTACCTGATCATCTTATCTTCTTTCTCCTCATCCCTGATACAGAGAGGCATCCCACTCCTACACATTCAGCCTCTCCGCTGGTCAATAACAATAACTAGAGCTGCTGCTTTGTGCAGGGGGGAGGGAGAGACCAGACACCAGTTGAGGAGTGCGGAGCTTGTATGCTGCTGAAGCCTTCCTGGCATGTGCAATAAGGGCCAGTTACTCACTTGGATTTCCCCACAGCACTGTCCCCCAGGCAGATAATCTTCACGTTCTCATCTGCATCATACTTCGTCTGGTCCAGCTCCTCACAGGAATCTCCCCCTGGTGCATCTCTAGCCATGCTGCCTCCACCCTAGCTGCACAGACGCCACCTCTCCTGGGACCAAGAGGAAGATTTTACTTTTCTGAGCCTCTCAGAAAGAGCTAGGATAAGCTCATAGTGTTACAGGCTCCTTCCTAGCCATCAAAGAGCAGTTACGATCAGGGCTGGTGCAAGGATGTTTCGCGCCCAGGGCCAAACTTCCACCTTGCGCCCACCCCCTCCCCAAGCCCTGCGGCAGCTCCCCCCCGCCCCCACAACTGCTGATCTGGATCAGACGCCAGCCCTTTGGTGGAGACACCTACCCAGAATGGAATGGAAAGGCACCAATTCATCCAGAGCCTCTTGCCACTACCGACAGCTCCTTGATCTCGCATCTATCACCCCGCTCACCTATCACCCCTCCCACCATCGGGGACAGCTTTCCACCTATCCCCCCTCCCCTTCCCGCCCCCCACCGGGGACAGCTCTACACCTATCCCCCCTTCCCTTCCCCCCTCACCAGGGACAGCTCCCCACCTATCCCCCCCACCGCGGGACAGCTCCCCACCTATCCCCCCCACGCGGGACAGCTCCCACGCTCCCCAGACGGCCCCGCTCCGCAGAGCCCCGGCCCGACACTCACCAGCCGCGTCCCCGCTGCTACGCGACGCGGCGGCGCGAGGCCCCGGGCTGCCCCACGCGCCTAAAGGACCTCGCGGCCGAGGCCGTCCCCGGAGCGCCTGAGCCGCCGACCGCTGAGCGAGGCACTTGGGGCTGGGGCTGGGCACCAAGGGGCGGCGCCGTACCGCAGCCCCCCCGGGCCCCGCCCGCCTTCCGAGCTATCCCTTCCCAGGCACCGCGCCATCGTCTGTCACCATGGCGACACTGCCGAGGCCCCGCGCGCCCCCGCCGCCCCGTGCACGCGCTGCGCGGCCGCGAGCGGCATGGGGGCCGTGCTGCGCTCCGCGCGGCCGCTGCAGCTCACGCTGGCGATGCTGAAGCCCGACGCCGTGGCCCACCCGCTGGTGCTCGAGGTGAGGGGGGCGGGCGGGCGCCCGGGTTACGGGCCGGGCCTTGTTCCCGGCAGCGGGGTCCCCCCGGCAGGCGGTAGTTGGTGGTACCCCTCCCCCCGGCCCGGCCCATGCCCCCGGCAGGCAGTAGTTGGTGGTACCCCTCCCCCCGGCCCGGCCCGGCAGGCATGAGTTGCTGGTACTCCCCGGCCCGGCAGGCATTATGTGTTGGTACCCCCTGGCCTGGCCCATTCCCCCTCCCCCAGGCATTAGTTGTTGGTGCCCCCCCCCCCGGCCTATCCCGTTCCCCCAGGAGGCGGTAGTACCCCCACCTCCACACACTTCGGATTACTGGACACTGACCCATGTGAACACGGCTCCTGGGCCCAGTTACGCCCTGCAGTCTCTCTTGCTCTGACCACACCTTTCTCCCAGTAGTCAGGATCCCCCTGGTCCCTTGGCTGAAGGCTTTGTTCTGCCACATCTGATGTGTTTGTGCCTCACCCTTGCCCTGCCTTTCCAGGCCGTGCACGAGACCATCCTGAATAACAAATTTCTCATCGTGCGGACCAAGGAGCTGATGTGGAGAAGGGAAGATAGCCAGCGATTTTACCAGGAGCACTCAGGTAGTGATCACAGGGAGCTTGCCACTGACTCTAACTGGGCCCTTCAGGGGGTGAAGCCTGGGACGGGAGGTTGTCTTTGCTCATGCAGGAAGTGTGGAAATGGGCAGTGGGGAGTACAGGGAAGGGCGCAGGTTAGCCTCTCAGGAGGGACATCGCAGAAGGATGGGGGTAGAGAGATAGGCAAAGAGGAGGAGAGAGTTGGAAAGACTCTCGTGTGGAGAGAGATTCGAAGACTGATTGTGTCGTTCAGTGAGGAGATGAATGAAAGGGGGCATGACAGAAGGATACAGAACTTATTTCTCTTGGAAGGTGCTCAGATACTATGGGGCTAGATGCCAGTATAAACCCTAGGACAGATAGCAGGTAAATCAGGAAGTCCTCTCTCTGAATGCAACAGGTCATTCAAAGGTTTCAGAGTAGTCTGAAAGGCACTACACGTAAGACTTATCATAGGAAATATTTATTACGCAACACACAATCTGTGGAACTCACTGCCACGAGGCATTACTGAGGCCAAGAGTTCAGTAGGAGTCAAAACACAATTAGACACTTACATGCATAGTGCTCTGCTACAGACTTCTTGCATGACTTTGGACTAGTCACTGAGTACCTCAGTTCCCCATCTGAGACATGGAGATAATCGCACTTCCCTACATGCCTCATGTTGTGAAGATAAATACAGTACACTAAAAATTGCCAGGTGCTCTGCTCCTGGAGTAATGGGGCCAGTTATGTACCATGGATGGATGGGAAGGATGCAAACAAACAAATGGCTTCTATTATATCTGCTAGGATAAGTTTTAGAGTGGTAGCCATGTTAGTCTGTATCTGTCTTAGTCTTGATGGTGTCTTAAAAGTGGCAATTGTTCAATAAAATCTTCAAAACCAGACTCCAATGAGAAACTGCAGAACTGGAATTAATTTGCAAACAGGACACCATCAAATTAGGCCTGAATAAAGACTGTGAGTGGATGGGTCGCTACAAAAAGTAGTTTTCCCTCTGCTGATACTCACATCTTGTCAACTGCTGGAAATGGGCCACCTTGATTGCATTGGCCTCATTAGCACTACAAAAGTAATTTTCCCTCCCTTGGTATTCACCCCTTCTTGTCAACTGTTGAGAATAGGCCACTTCCATCTTAATTTAATTGGCTCATTAGCACTGACCCCACACTTGGTAAGGCACCTCCCATCTTTTCATGTGCTATAATATATATTCTTCTGACTGTATTTTTCACTCCATGCATCTGATGAAGTGGGTTTTAGCACACGGAAGCTTATGTCCAAATAAATTTGTTAGTCTCTAAGGTGCCACAAGGACTCCTCATTACTTTTGCTAGGATAAGATAAACTCTCCTGCTGCAGGGAGGAGCTGGGGAGACTCTCCCACAAGGGCAGGTTATCCCAGAATTGTCCACTGGGGGGTTCTGCTCCTGCTGTCGAAGCAGCTGGTATCAGTCCCAGTCAGAGACAGGCTGCTTTGCTAGACGTGCCCTGGACTGGCCACGCCTCTGTTCCTATTGTAAGAGCAGCAAAGGAAAGGGCAATGGGGTGAGGGGAGGGTGGTAGGGCAAGGCCAAGCAAGGGTATCAGTATGACAGGGGAAATGGGCATCTATGCCCCCTTAGAGTGAAATGCTGTCTCTCTCCTTGCAGGGCGATTTTTCTATCAGAGGCTGGTGGAGTTCATGGCCAGGTACCTCCCCTTCCCAATCAGTCCTAGCTCAGCAGTGAATCCCAGCCATGGGGGTTGGGAGCTGTTCTGGCTGTCAGGAGTGAGTGGGGGTGACACCCACTGTCACACACATGCCATTGCCCCCTCATGCTGCTGCCCTTTGTCCATGGGCGGCTTCTCCCATGGTAAACCCTCTCTCCCCCTGCCTTGGTAAGTGGAGAATGGGAGTGGGACAGGGCAATGGGCAAGCTCTTCCCTGGATTCATGACATGTATGTCCCATACAGGCAGCATTCGTGGGACAAGAGTGATGCTCAGGCTAGAACTTTGTCATTCTAGTCTGGCACCAGCTGATCCTCAGTGCTGCCCTGCCAGCGTAGCCCTTGGGGGAGTGCAGGCTGTACTGTTAGAAATGCCATTCATTGTAGGCTACCTTAAATCAGGTCACTGCCCTGGAATCAGGGTGTTTTAACAGTCTAGGGTAACCCTGGGGTCCTGGCTACTATCATCTCTCAATCAGTCTGCTCTGTGTCCCTGAGGAGTGCTGCATGGCAGCCCCTTCGCCTGCCACTCTGACTCTGCTGCGTCTGTGAGGATAGAAAGCACATGAGAGGCCCACATCCTGCTGTAATCTTGTCTTTTCTTGTCCCCACCTGGCTGTGTTTCCCCAGTGGCCCAATGCGGGCTTATATCCTAGCCCATGAAGATGCTGTTGCACGCTGGAGGTCTCTCATGGGACCCACCAAAGTGTACCGAGCCCGAAACACAGCTCCAGACTCCATCCGAGGAGCCTATGGCCTCACTGACACGAGAAACACCACACATGGCTCAGGTAAGAACCCCAGGGCAGTCATTGGGGTGGAGGAAGGGCCAGATGGGGGCACTGTCTCAGTGCACTCATGGCCTCTGCTGGTGCCCAAACCACATGTCCTTGTATCCCTGCAGGTTCCTCCAATCCAAGCAGACAGGCTCCATTCACCCCAGTCCTGTATAGGCTGTCCCCTCCACCCCTCTGAGCAGAACTCAGGGTACGATCGAGGCAATGTGCCACCACCACCTCAGGGCTCTCTCTCTCTCTCCTCTAACAGACTCGGTGGCATCGGCCCGTAGAGAAATTGCCTTCTTCTTCCCAGAGTTCAGTGAGAGTCTCTGGTACCAGCAGGACGAGCCACGTCTGCGCTGCGGCCTGGCACACTACGACGCAGGGGAGCGTGTTCACAGCCTACCCATGGCTGGCAGGACAGAGTCATCCTAGAGCAGAGGAGGAGACTTACCATTGACTAACCTCCCTTGGAGATGGGGAGGGTATTGCCTTCCACGCAAGGAAGTGCTGCTAGCAGCACCAGCTAGACTATCCCTGTAACAAGGACGGGGAGCTATGTAATGTCTGTTACAGTGGGCGAATACCAGCTCCAATACACATTACACCACATTCCGGGGGAGTGTCGCACTTACCTCTGGCTGCACGTGTAGCACCTAGATAGCATGGATGCTACAGACAAACCTCAGATACCAGCAGGAATCCATTGAACTCCAGCATGGCAGAGGAACCCCAGCCTGCAATTCACCAGTACGGAGAGTGTGCTCGCACATAATCTGGGTACAGGGGGCTGCCCGCACAGGGCTGCGTGCAGGGGTGAAAGCACAGATCTTGGTGATGAGGATGAGTGTGGAATATCTCTGTGAAGCGCAAAGACGATCCCACTGCCTTGCCCACATGCACTCTGGCTGTTCATTACCAGTGACAATCTTCCTTGCTTATCTAGTGCTTTTGTCTGTAAAGCATTTCTCCAACACAGCCATGGTGTGCTGCAGTAATAAAGCTTTCTTTGCTGCAGGCATTGTCACTGACAGAGCTCTCTGAGGACAGAGTGGATCAGCTGGCATGGCTGAGCCAGATCTCAGAGATACCTCTGTGTCACATGGGCGACACAACTTCACCTTTTGGGTGCTGGTTTCAGCCTGGGCCCAGGGTGGTGGGATGCAAGGAATCAGGGTAGGAACCGGTGGTTGGGCTCACTAACCTTTGGCACACCCCCTAGCATCAGTGGCACTATCTTTGGCTCCAGAGCTCTTATTGCCCACCTGCCTATGGCACCAGCTCTTGTGTGTCTCAACCCTCCACCCAAGTCACCTAAGTTCAGACCCCTTCTGGGGTATCATGAACAAGTCCAAACAAAATTGAATAGTTCTTCTGCCCTCTTGGGCTACTGAAATCTTCTCTACTTACAGACCCTATCTCGGGGCTTCCCTTGCAGGAGCCTATGCTTCCCCTGTAGCCCACTATTCCCATTCTCTGTCTGTGTACCCTAACGCAGGGCTTGTCTCAGAAAGACCTGTCTCCTCTGCCGTTTCTCCCTCAATTGAGCTCCCTCAGTCTTCTTTATTATGGCTTAGCTCTGCGCACTCTGACCAGGAGCCAGTTAGCTATCCACCTCCCTGGGTGTAAAGCATGAGAAATTGGGTGCATTCACTAGCCTTGCATATGATGGGGGGGAAGCCCCATCACACAGCCTTTATCCTCTAGTGGATGCTGGCTCCAATCCAGCCCCATGTCAGGGGACTGGCTGGAATGGAAAACCTACCTTATGAGAAGAGACTCAAGGATCTTGGCTTGTTTAGCCTGATCAGACAAAGACTGAGGGGAGCTTTGATCGTTCTCTATAAATACATCAGAGGGATAAATACCAGGGAGGGAGAGGAGTTATTTAAGTTAAGCACCAATGTGGATCCAAGAACCAATGGATATAAACTGGCCATCAACAAGTTTAGGCTTGAAATTAGGTGAAGGTTTCTAACCATTGGAGGAGTGAAGTTCTGGAACAGCCTTCCAAGGGGAGCAGTGGGGGCAAAAAACCTAAGTGGTTTCAAGACTGAGCTTGATAAGTTTATGGAGGGGATGTTATGATGAGACTCTACAATGGCACGTAACCAATCTGCGACTGCTAGCTGCAAATATCTCCAACAGCTGGTGGTGGGACACTAGATGGGGAGGGCTCTGAATTACTACTAATAATTCTTTCCCAGGTGTCTGGCTGATGGGTTTTGCCCCCACGCTCAGGGTCTAAGTGATTGCCATATTTGGAGTCAGAGAGGAATTTCCCCCCCGGGTAATATTGGAAGAGACCCTGGGGTTTTTTTTGCTTTCCTCTGAAGCATGTGTCACTTGCAGGTTTAAACTAGTGTAAATAGTGGGTTCTCTGTAACTTGAAGTCTTTAAACCATGATGTGAGGACTTCAGTAACTCAGGCAAAGGTGAGGGGTCTATTACAGCAGTGGGTGGGTGAGGTTCTGTGGCCTGCGATGTGCAGAAGGTCAGACTAGATGATCATGATGGTCCCTTCTGATCTTAACGTCTACGAGTCTAACTGATATAGTTTGGCTGCCTCATTCCAGACCATATCTGATGTGAGCAAGTGGAAACACGCTGCAAAAGAGGCAGGTGATACCTTCCTCCTGCTGGAGCTTACTCTGGGCAGCATCCGTGCTGTGGGCACAATTGGGATCACCAAAGATGGTTGATGTAAATCGCTGGAAGGCACCGAGTTAGATAGCCGTGGACTGTCAGCCTCGAATAAATGGAAGCCCAGTTTGATGGTTCTCCAGTCAGGTTGACAACCAGGCTTACCATGGCCACATTAAAGGAGTAGTCTGCGGCATGGATTCATGAAATCTTTGGCAATCCCCCTGGAACTGCTCTGGCAGGGGAATGATGGATGCTGGCTCGGGGGTTGGTGCAGAAAGTCGGGTCGGAAGCAAAGCATTCTCGTTGGAGCAGTTGTTCCTGCAATGGCTGGTTTGCAGTGGCCAACTACATAGCCTGTGCCTGCATCACTTGATTGTCTGCCTGACAGTGGGTTACCTGCTGGCACCCCTTGAGGCAGGAGGAACTCTGCAGGGACATGCTTGGCAGATCCTCTCCTTCCAAAGGGTGTGTGGTCCAAGCAAGCTGTCAGAACTGGGACTTGGGCAATGTTCCCTAGTGGTCAGAGCCAGAATAAGGAAGCAGGAACCAAGCCAGGGGTCACAGCCAGAAGCAGAGTTTAGGGATGAAGAAAGAGTCAGGTCCAGTGGAGCAGCCAGTCAGGAAGTGCTTCAGTGCGTCAGACAACTTCTTGTGTCTTCTTCTGGCTTAAATAGTATGTTGCAGACAGTCACTTGGGCTGGTCATCGTCCCCAGTCAGGGTGCTCTTGGGCAATGCCTCTGGGAGCCCCTCAGTTCCAGTAGTTCAGGATGAGATACCCATCGATGGCTCAGGTGGGAGGGGTGTGTGGGAACCTGTAGGCCCAGATTTGAGACCCATAGCCATTTACAACAGGCTTTAAGTGCAGACAACCAGGTTGGGTAAACACCAGCACTTCAGGTTCAAGGAAGAAGTGAGCTGGCCACAAAGGAATTGGTGAGAGAGGAGGCCTGATCAGAGGCAAGAGGTCACAGCTGCTTTCTACTCAGTAGGAGACAGATGAGGATGGGCAGACTGGAAACTATGGATGATACCTCTCGAGATCCAGCAGATCCAAGGGAACAGATGTATGGGATACACGTGGATGGCAGCTAGGTCCAACCTCTAAGAAAATCAAGCTTACTTGCCAAGAGTTCTCTATCCATCCAAGGAAGACAGACAATTCTTGTTGGAGATTCAGTACTCAGAAGGCTTGAAAGAACATGCTGCAAGGAAAAGGCAGACAACAGGACAGCATGCAGCCATCCTGGAGCTAAGACATGAGATGTCACTCTAAGATTGGACAGGTTTCTGAAGTTGATGGGCAAGGATCCATTGGTCATGGTTCATATCAGTGCAGAAATGTCACTGCATCGCAGGATATCATGCACATAGTAGATGACTTCAGGGAACTTGGAAACATGCTGAAGAAGAATAATGTACTTAGCTGTGTTTGCCAGAAGCTGGGAATGGGTGACGGGATGGATCCTTGATGTTTACCTGTTCTGTTCATTCCCTCTGGAGCAGCTGGCATTGGCCAGTGTCAGAAAACAGAATACTGGGCTAGATGGACCTTTGGTCTGACCCAGGGTGGCCATTCTTATGTTCTTATTTAATATTTTTATCAATGACCTGGAAGAAAACATAAAATTGGCACTGATAAAGTTTGCAGATAATACAATAATTGGGGGAGTGATAAATAATAAAGAGGACAGGTCACTGGTTCAGAGCAATCTGAATTGCTTGGTAAACTGGGCATAAGCAAACAAAATATGCATTTTAATAGGGCTGGATGTAAACATGTACATCTAGGAACAAAAAATGCAGGCCATACTAACAGAACAGGTGACTCTATCCTGTAAAGGAGTGACTGAAAAAGATTTGGAGGTTGTGGATGAGCTCCCAGTGTTACGCTGTGGCCAAAAGAACTAATACGATCCTGGGACTGATAAACATGGAATCTTGAGTAGGAATAGAGTGGGGCTTTTTACCTCTTTATTTGGCACTGATGCACCACTGCTGGAATACCGTGTCCAGCTCTGGTGTCCACAGTTCAAGGATGTTGATGAATTGGAGAGGATTCAAGGAAGAACCACAAGAATGATTAAAGGATTAGTAAACAAGCCTTATAGTAATAAACCCAAGGAGCTCAATCTATTTAGCTTAACAAAGAGAAGGTTAAGGAGTTAACTTGATTACAGTCTGTAAGTACCTACATGGAGAACCAATATTTAATAATGGGCTCTTCGATCTAGCAGACAAAGGTACATCAAGATCCAAAGGCTGGAAGTTGAATCTAGACAGATTCAGACTGGAAATAAGGTGTAAATGTTTAACAGTGAGAGTAATTAACCATTGGAACAATTTACCAAGGGTTGTGGTGAATTCTCTGTCACTCTCAGTTGTTAAACCAAGACTGGATGTTTTTCTAAGAGATCTGCTCTAGGAATTATTTTGGGCAACTCTGGCCTGTGTTATACAGGAGGTCAGAGTAGGTGATCATAATAGTCCCTTCAGGCTCTAGAATTGATGAATCTGTATCTAAAACAGGAAGCCTATGAAAGAATTTGTGGGTCCCCTAGATCATCAAGAAGTAAAAGAGAGCAATTAAGAAAGATAAGGACATTGGTGAGTAGCTAAATGATCTGTACCAGTCAGTCCTCACTGCAGAGGATGTTGGGGTGGTACTACCCCAGACCTGCTCTTTCCTTATAATATCAGTTGCTAGGAGTGACCAGAAGAAATGATGCTGGAGCAAATTGTTAGTTTATGAAGCAACAAGTTACCAGGCCCACAAAGTTATTTAGGTTAGGTAGGATCAGAGAGGACTGAAATATTCAGAGACTTGACCAAGCCAGAGGGATGGGCAACATGATGGCAAATAAAGTTTTATGTCAATAAATGCCAAAACAATGCACATTGGAGGAAAATGTAATCTACTCACATACCTTACAGGGTCTGAATCAACTCAGGAAGGGGACCTGGTGTCCGTGGAGCCAGTTCGGTGGTGAATTCTGCTCAGCGCACAGCTCTGGTCAATAAAGCAAACCAGCTGTTAGGGTGCATAAGGCACGGAATAGAGGATCATATGGAAAATATTCTAATGCCTTTATATAGATCAATGGCAGCTTTCTCTGGACACTGGGATTGTTACCTGGGAGAGGAGACAAATGAGAGGGGCCACAACCTGGAGCTTTCTGAGCCCAGAAGCAATTCTCTCCCTGTTTCTGATGTTCAGTCCATGCACAGCTGGATTAATTTGGGTTCCTGTGCAGGTCACACCACATCTGCATGGCCTTTCCCTGTTCTCCACGGGTGCAGGCAGCTGCTTACACAGGAATACAAACCTCTTGCACTCTGAGGCTATGTCTACACAAGAGAGCCTACAGCAGCGCAACTGTACCAATGCAGCTGCGCCGTGAAGTTCTCTCATGTAGCTGCTCTAAGCCGAGGGGAGAGAGCTTTCCCGTCGATGTAATTAATCCACCCCCAGTAAGCAGCGGTAGCACGTTGGCAGGAGACGCTCTCTTAGCAACATAATGCTCTCCACACTGGCGCTTCTGTCTGTGAAACTTATGTCGCTCGGTGGTTTAGTCACACCCTGTAACGATGCGGCCTTGGGCGGGACACAACTGAAGGTATCAATTCAGGACAAATTGCTCAGAGCAGGGCAGTCACAGCCTAAAGCTGGGTTTCTTCCACTACCAAGGCACCAAACCAGCCAAACAGAGGAGTTCGGTCTCACCCCACTGGCTAACCAGACGTCACCCAAGCAATTCCCTCAGACACTCCAGTTTCCCAGTATCACCACCAGCGCCACTCCTTATGGGGACGAATGGTTATGAAAACCAATACCCCAGTAAAAGAAAAAAGGTTCTGCCGATCCCAAAGGACCAAGCCCCAGATCCAGGTCAATATACAAGTAAGATCTTGCCTACAAATCACGCTGTTACCAATCCTTTAAAATCTAAAATCTAAAAGTTTATTCATAAAAAGAAAGAACTATAGATGAGTTAAAATTGGTTGAATGGAATCAATTACATATGTAACCCTTCTGCCCGCCTGAGTTGGCAGCAACAAGGGCTGGGTTCAGTATCTAGGGATCAATAACACAATGCAAAATTGGCTCGAGCCCCCACCCAGTGACCTGGGACAATTACATACCACCCGCCTGGGTGCCTCTAAGAGGCAATACTTCCCCTCTCGCAAGCACAGAGTCTGAGCGTAGCAAAATCCTTTTAATAAAGGAGGGAAACAATGCGGCATTATGTTGGGGAAACACCACAAACAGGATTCATAACACAAACCATGAGCAAAAGGCCCACCCCCAAGTAAGTTCTATCCTTTTCCCCTCCCCATCTTAAGTCCAGCAACCCAAAAATCACCCAAAAGTCCAACAACCCAAAAGTCTCCATCCCTGGTCAATGCAGCCCCAGAGTTCAAAAGTTTATCTGCAGAGTTTTACCTCCCAGCCTGGGGGGGGGGAGGGCACGCAGCGGTGTTAAGGGGCACCTTACATGGTTTGAGGCTGACTGCCCTGCGTTTCCATGGGGTTCTGCTGCAGCCTTCACCACCAGCCGCTCCGCTCCACCAGCCATCCCGTGAGCTGCTCCAGCCGTTCTGTGAACGGCTCCGCTCCACCAGCCGCTCCGCTCTACCAGCCAGCCCGTGAGCTGCTCCAGCTGTTCCGTGAACTGCTCCACAGCCACTCTGCTCCACCAGTCGTCCCGTGAGCCGCTCCAGTCATCCTTCAAACTGCTCTGCTCAGCCAGCTGCTCAGCAACATATTTTCAGGCCCCCCCACAGCACTCAGTGATTTCAGCTCTTAGTAATTTTAGCTCTTTACTGATTTCAGCTTGTAGTAGGGGAGCCTCAGTGCTAGTGCACCATTGGCCCAAAGTGAATTCAGCTCAGCAGCCTATAACTAGACTCCTAATGGAATTAAAATTAGCTCTGATATTCCGCAATAGAGAGAGGAAGAAGGTAGGAGGGATAGCTCAGTGGTTTGAGCATTGGCCTGCTAAACCTAGGGTTGTGAGTTCAATCCTTGAGGGGGTCATTTAGGGATCTGGGGCAAAAATCTGTCTGGGGATTGGTCCTGCTTTGAGCAGGGGGTTGGACTAAGTGACCTCCTGAGGTCCCTTCCAACCCTGATATTCTAGGTGCAATTGGTATTTCAGGCCCTCAAAATGGGCCCATACCATCAGGTGCAAATGCCTCTCTTAATTCACTGGGTTTTGGAACCCATGTCCCTTGTCTAGCAAGTCCCTCTGTCATAAAACAGTTTCATTGTCCTTGATTCACATAATGAGGGTAACAACACTTCATTCTTCCTGCCCCAATAACAGAGAAACTGGGGATCCCACAGCAGCCCAAGTGCCCATTTGGGCTGCTGTGCGCTCATGCCAGGTGGGGTGGGTGTGCCTATGCAAACAAGATCAGCCCCTGAAGTTCTTTTCCACAATTCACCACCAGATGTCAGGGTAGAGCTCATCCTGACTCTGCTACACATACAGTGATGGCAAAGTTCTTGGTTCAGGCTTGTAGCAGTGATGGAATAAACTGCACGCTCAGATCAAATCTCTGGAACAGCCACAGCTGGGGTGGGTCATTCAGTTCTTTTGTTCAGAGCTTCAGTTTGTAGCAAAGTTCCTCCAGAGGTGAGAAGCAGGATTGAAGACAAAATGGAGGGGTTTACAGTGCCTTTTATATCCTCTGCCATGTGGAAGGACCCCTTTGTTCTTACTGTGGAAAATCACAGCAGCAAGGTGGAGTTTGGAGTCACATGGGCAAGTCACATAAACACATTGAGATACAAGTACATAGCCAATATTAATAACTTCAAATACAAAAATGATACACACATACAGACACCATAATCATAACCAGCAAATTACAACCTTTTCATAGACACCTTCTTGACCTCCTTTGTACAAGATTTGGTGCAACTATAGGACCTTGGTTGCAACAATGATCTATATGGTCACAGTTCATGTCAATAACGTCACACACCCCTGAGTGACGTACGTTAGCGCAACATAAGTGGTAGTATAGACATGGCCTGAAAATCCCCACTACAACTCCAGCTTCCTTCAGAGCTCCATGCCCAGGCCTGCATGGAAGTTGGGTGGTGTGGGATCTCACACATGCCCTGGCTTGTGGTTCACTGTCTGGCCCTGCCCTGCGGTCTCGTGCTTGCTGACATGCAGGGTTAGCACTACCTGCACACCCTGCTGTGGTGTCTCACCTGCGTCCTTGCCCCTTTGGAACTCTGCTCTGGGTAGCGTGATGGCCCTGGAGACCTGCACCGGGGAGGGAGCATTCATCCTGCTGGGGCTCTAATTGCAGCTGGTGATGCAGCAGCTCCTGTTCGTGGCGCTATATACCTCGGAAGCTGGCTGGAAATGGGATGATCATGGGGGGATCCTTGCAGACTGGCACCTACATTTGCCCACATACTTCTTCCTCATCACCCTCTCCCTGCTGGACGTCTGCTTCACCTTCCACATGATGCCCAGTTGGTGGCCAACCTGCTGTGAGCAGGAGCCCCCAGCGCCTCCTGCCAGCATGCAGCCCAGAGGTACCTCTCGCTGTCCTTGAGCTTGGCTCATTGCTGCTGGTGACCGTCAAGGGTCTGTGTCGCCATCTACTGCCCCCTGTACTAGGTCTTCATCGTGAGCCGCCTGTCTGCCCGCAGCCAGCACCTGGCTGTGCAACTTCCTCTTTGTGATTGTGCGCATGGTACTCACCCTGCTGCTGCCTGTCAGCAGCCTTTCCGAGATCCCCCACTTCCTGCGGTAGATGCCAGCCGTGATATGGATCCCATAAGGCAGTCTGTTCAATTGCCCCCTCTTCTCACAGTTACAAAGTTTTTCCTGATGTCGGGGACTTTTTAACCCAGACGGCAAGGTTCGTTGTCTGACCGCAGAGTGAGAGGCAACACCAGCAAGGTCCAATACAAGCTCTTTATTGAAGAGTGCACACAACAATAGAGAGCGGCCTGTCTCTAGAGAGCACCAGCCACGATTACAATAACTAGTGAGATTATATAGACAGTTCCGTCGCGTCATAGTTAAAGCAACCCAATCCCCCCCTTTACTAGTTAAAAGCTTCTAATATTTATGCATATCTATCTTCTTTGACAGTACAAACAGTTCATGATGCCTCAGCAGCTTATCAGCTTTTTTGTCATGCACTAGAAACTAGGAGAAAGTAGGGAGTTAAGAACAGAAACAGGGAGTGGAGACTGCAAGTCTCCATATGTCCAAACAAACCGTTCCTAGTACATTTGGTACAAGAATACACCCCCCCTTATCTCATTCTTTGAAGCCCAAGCAAGCATCTCCTCATGTTTCACAGAGAGACAGGAATGGCCCAGCAACTACTGTTAGCCTAACTTTGGCTAAGTTGGCCAAACAACCTGTTCTATACTCCATTTTCCTTGGACCTAACATATCTATTCTGAAAATTGATCATTTATTCCCTTTATTTCCTGTCTTTTAACCAGTTATTGATCCATGAGAGGGCCTTTCCTCTTACCCCATGACTGCTTACTTTGCTTAAGAGCCTTTGATGTTGGACTTCGTCAAAGACTTTCTTAAAATCCAATTACAATATATCCACTGGATTACCCTTTTCCACATGTTTGTGCACACCCTGTGAGAATTCTAATAGATTGGTGAGGCATGATTTTCCTT